TCTGTCCAGTCACTTTTCTGGAGGCGAAACATCCGCATATCAAAAGACATGGCAGGGAAGAAGAAGGACTACAGAGCATCCAACCTCTGCCACGGAGCAAGCTTGGAAGTGAGGATGGTGTTGGCAGCATTGAGGTAGCGATTTCTTGCATCACTGTCAGGATGTAGTTGAAAGCCGATGGGCTTACCGACGAAGGTTCCCGAAGATCCATCATCCAGGTGGCGGAGAGGGACTCCGTAGTTGGGAAACTGGGTGGGCCAAGTACCGATGGGCGTACGAGCGATGGAGGCTGCAGTGTCCAGGTAGGTCTGGAGTTCTTCAGGAGAGTTGGCGATGAGAAGAAGATCGTCGGCATAGGCCAGAGAGGTCTGGCAGTCGGACGACGAAGGGATGGCACGGAGGAGAGGGTCAACAGCAAGGTTAAAGTGGAGGCCGCTAAGCGGGAAGCCTTGGCGGACACCTTTGGAGGAGAGAATGGGCTCGGTCAATCCATCAGCACCCATGATGCGAGACGAGTTCTCAGCGTAGATGGAGCAGACCAGGTCAGTCACGACAGGGCCTGCACCGGAGGACTCCAGAGCAAGAAAGATGGCGTCATGCGGGATGGAACCAAATGCATTGGAGAGGTCCAGCGATGCAATGCAGATGTCTTGCTTGTGTCGGCGGGCATTCCAAAGTCTCTGGTCGACAACGAAATTGTGCTCGAAAATGCCATCAAAGGGCAGGAAGCCCTTTTGAGAAGGTGAGAGCACGTCATTCTCGGAGATCCAGAGAGTGATCCTCTTAGCCAGGCAGCCGGTGAACAGCTTAAAGATGGTACAGCTAAGAGAGATGGGTCTCCAGTTGCGTAGGTCCATTTGATCTTCTTGTGAATAAGGATGGTGCTGGAAGTCTTTCAGGCATCAGGGATCCTGCATGCCTTCAGACATATGTTGAAGATGACGGCGAGGATCTTACCGTCAGGATCGAGAGACTGCCAGTGGTGGTATGTCAGTTGATCAGGCCCTGGAGCTGTGTTTTCGGCGGCACGGAGACAGGCGACCACTTCCTCTGGTGAAAACTGGGAACAGTCAACTTCAGAGGGAGCTCTAAGAACATCATGGAAGATGGAAGCGCATACAGGAGGAGGTGCAGTCGATGAAGAGAAGTGTTCAACAATCGAGGCATTGTCGAAGGGACAGCGGGGAGAGTCACATCCAGAAAGACGACGCATGGCGTTCTGCCGATTTCTCCGATACAGTCGTTGGAGCGCTTTGGGATCAGAGGCGGAAGGTGGCGAAGTCAAGGCAGAGGGAGGCGTGGAAGGAAGGGAAGGAATCTTGAGCATAGTCCTAGCAGTGTCGATGAGAGAAGCTAGACATTCCTCAAAGAGACGCCAGTCTTGAACGTTATCCCCGAGAAGGAGGGAGACTAGTGGTCTGAAGACATGAAGAGAAGCAGTGTGAGTCGGCTCAGCATCAGTGGAAACTTCAGTGTCAGGGAGGACGTCGTCATCGATAACATCAGCAACCGGAACTGAGTCGGTGATGGGAACGTCGGAGGGCGAAGGAGGCAAGTCCATTGAAGGAGGAGGAAGTTCCGAGGAAGGAGAGAAGCTGGAGCTGGTAGCGGGTGGAGAGGTGCACGGCGAAGCAGAAGATGGAGCAGAAGGGGCGGTGGCGTCCGGAGAGGCTGTCGCTGAAGTAGGAGGAGCAGAAGGCGTGCTGTATCTCCGACGGCGATGGCGAGTAGACGTGCTGGCAAGAACAGGTGGAGGAACCAGAGGAGGTCACTGGCGCTGACGTTGTCTCTTGTGGTAAGCCTGATGGTAAAGGAACCCACCACGAGTTTGGCATGAGAAATCGCACGAGTTGCATTTCCACCTGTGTGAGATACCAGAAGCGACGATCACTGGTCGGTCATTGAAGCAGGGGTGGCTGGAGACTCTCGTCGGGATGGCAGATCGGCAGTGGGAGCACCAGTTTGACGTGGTCTCGATCTCAATACCGTGAGCGTACGAGAGATGTCGGCACAGGGAATGTCGCAGTTGGGACCATTGACTTGCATGAAAGGTGCGTGTGCAGGATGATTCGGTGCATGCCATGGTGTCAGAGACAGGGAAGACGATGTTGACGATGGCATCTCGTCGGCACGTGGAAGAGGGGAAGGCGCGGACTCGTCAGTATCATGGCCAGAGGAAGGTGCACTAGAGGTAGGAGGTAGCAATGAAGTCGGGGTCCTGGATCCGGGAAGAGAGGAGGCAGTGGAAGAGGCAACGGGGACAGCAGGAAGAGGAACAGGCGAGTCATTCGTAGCCAGGGGAGGAGCAGGAAGTCCAGTGCCAGTGAGAGAGCTGGAAACAGTGGAGGCAGCAGGAGAAGCATCATGGGGCGGTGACTGAGTCATCAGCAGTAGGGAGCATCAGGAGTAGGCAGCACAGAAACAGGAGACGTCAGGAAGGTCCCAGCGGATGGAGGCGCCTGAGGAGAAGGCAGCCGTGGAGAGGAGCATACAGTAGACAGGGACGACCCCAGGCAGCACATCTCTGAAAATATACATATGATTTTGATGAAATAAGCATATGGCATTTTTGCACATTCTCTTTATCGTTATTTTCCACACGTTATTTTTACGAAAATTATACGAATCCGAATGTACTGAAAAAAACTACTGCCATAATGGTATATTTTATTCGTCACTTTTACGTATGTTATATGATCCGAATGTTTCTGAAAAGAACTACTGCCTTATGGTATATTCATTCGTCACTTTTACGGATATTATATGAAGTATAAAAGATTGAAAATGAAAGTTATTAATTCAAAATATTTAGTGCATTTTTGGCATTTCACTTTGTGAATTTCCTTTTCCACGAAACATGAAAAAGGGGCATTCATATGAGGCTAAAATTTTTCTATGAATTTTAAAATGTAGCTAAATCTTTACGTGCATTTTTGCAAAAATTATTTTCTTAATTTAAAGATCTTCAAAATAACTTATTTATTTCTTATATCAAATTTGTTATTTTTTTCATATCAACACTTACCTTAATTACATAATTTAATTCTTATGAAAAATTCTATTACCCATTTAACTGGAAACTGTATATTAAATTTGTGTACTTTACTGAGTTTGATACAATATTCGCCTTATTTTATTTAGCAATGTGGGCATTTAAATTGGAATAGACTAGCAAATCTTTCATGTCGAGGAATAGAATAATAAATACAGCAGAAGATGCTTGAAAATGTTTAACTTCTTGAACAATAGTTAATGTAGACCAGAGAATCATTAATTATAATCAAAGATATACAAATATTTTTATTTAATAATAATATAATTGTCTCGAAATGCAAGCTGACCTGAATTTGATAATTATATAATTTAAAAATCAGATATTTTTAATTTTGAATTATTAAAATATTAAATTTTAAGCATACAAAAAAAATAATTTGAATATTTAATTTACGTTCTTCCCCTCGGGCTCACTTTTGTGAGTACGGGTGTGGCAATCCCGAGGTACCCTAGCCCTTCAGGGGATCATCTTCTTGGTGAGACGGGTGTCACGATCCTGGAGCCCCAGTGATCTATCCTCTTTTCCGTCTCCTCTCCTCTTGGCTGGAACTTTTTCCCTTCCCTTCTCCCTTGTGGTTTCTCTCTACGGAGTTTGGGGCTCGTCACGAGAGGCTGGAACAGACCTTGTTTCTAGTTTTCGAGTGGCGAGAACGAGAAAACTGCCCACGTGTTTGCCGTGCGTGGAGACCCGTGTCGCTGGAAAGGAGGGTCCTGGTAGTTGAGGGGCGAGGTACTGTCCCCAACACACTGCTTTGGCCTCTGCTTCAGCTAAACGGGAGGCACCTTAGTCGTCCTCACGGGTGTCAATCGGCTGGTCACTAGTCCTTGTGTCAGTGGCTTGGGGTCAAGCTCTCGGGAGTACCTGCTTTCGGGAAAGCCGACTGTGGGGCTTCAGTTTGCGTATAGGTCCGGCTAGCCCTAACACAGGAATCTGTGTTCCCTTGTTGGGCTCCGTGGTGGGCGGGGCCGTCGGACCCGAATTTTTTTCTCTTTCAATATGGCTTCTTTTATTATTCTAAAAAAACTCCGAGTCAAACTGAAACGAACAAAGTCAAATCACTCTGAAAACCTAGTTCTGAAAATCTACTTAACCAAAAAACCTAGTTCAATGAAAATCATTCAACCATTACTGAAACCTATCTGAACACTCCAGTACTCAAAAAGTCTACTGCAAAAAAATTACACAGATGCAAAAAAAAATCATAACAATAGTCCCCGTTTCCTAGTCATCTCTAGTCCTTCTGGCGAAATGCATAAGATGTCTCCTTTCGTAATAAACAATACATCCAGTCTTGTATTGGTGAGCCGAGAAATATAAAGCGTCTCCGCTCCGGAGACTTGCTTATTGATACAACCTCAGCCACCCAGTCTGCTTCTTTACTTCAGATAACTAAACTTGGGCAAGCGAATGTCTATAACTGTAACACCACATAAGTCACTGAACTATTGTCGGGTGTAATCTCGGAATTCGACCTTCTGTATGTTTCTGAAGAAGAGATCGCTTCCTGAGCTATCCGAACCAAAATGTCTGCGGTGCTAAGGCGGATCAAGATGCGTAAAGGAAGGTAAGTTGATAGACACGAAACACGTGATCCTTACCTTCAACACGCCTGATCTGCCTAAGAATATTAAGGCCGGATATCTAAATTCCTGTAAGACCTTATATTCCAAACCCTATGCGATGTTTCCAATGCCAGCGTTTCGGCCATTCTAAGACGTCTTGTCGTGGCAGCCTCACATGCGCCCGATGCTCACAGATTGGCCACGATTCTGAAAATTGTACCGCTGCGCCTTCTTGTATAAATTGCAAGGGTGAGCACCCAGCATTTTCACGCCTCTGCCCAAAATGGAAATTGGAAAAAGAAGTGCAGACTGCAAAGTTACGAGGAACATCTCATATGCCGAAGCCAGAAGATTAGTCCAAAGCACACAGCTTCGACCAAACACATCATACGCCAGTGCTGTTAAAATCATCTCGTACAGTTGCCACCCAAACATCAATAGGCACACAGACCCTACCAAATAAAACCCAACCGTCTACATCCAACAAGAAAAAGAAAATGCAACCCATATAGTACAAAATAAAGAAACAGTTATTCAAAGTAAACCCAAAACTTCACACAAAATATCCAAATAAAAATAGAAGTTCCAGCAATAGCTCTTTTGATGAAATGATTTCTGAATCTGCGGATTCAGACTTTATGGAAGTAGAAGAGGGTCTAGAAGTTCCCAGGCATCTACTTCCACGAAAAACCAAACAAGAGCACAGAAAGAACAAAAACCATTCATAATGGCCACCCTCGTGTCATGGAACTGTCGCGGTTTCCACCGAAATTTGCTTCGACATCAAATCTATAATAAATGTTATCATCCTGTGTGCTTCGCAATACAGGAAACAAATCTGAAACCAGAACAACATGCAAAACTTCGGAGGTTTTCTTTCGTCAGGAAGGATAACCTTGCAGGTGAGCGTGCCAGTGGAGGTGTAGGTCTCCTCACCTCACTGGATTATCCCTCAAATGTACTTTCTTTGACGACATCCCTCCAAGTTGTCGCTACTCAAATAAATTTTGATATTTGTTGTTTCAGTCGTTTCTCTGTATTTGCCTCCAAATGAGCACATTGATCAGCAAGATTTAAATGGTCTTTTAGAGCAGCTGCCTGAGCCTTTCATCATAATAGGAGATTTTAACGGCCATAGTCCACTCTGGAGTAGTAAAGATACAAATTGCCGAGGAAGACAAATTGAGCAGATGATCGAAGATCATAGCCTTTGTCTCCTAAATAATGGGCAGGATACTTACTTCCATGAGCCTTCAAGGACTTTCCACGCTCTCGACCTTGCCATCTGTTCACCATCTCTGTTGCCATTTTGCACCTTTAGTGTCGGAAGTGATCTGTACAACAGCGATCATTATCCCATTGTTGTGTCTCTTGCACGAAGAGGAGCAAACCCCATGTCGAGAGTCCCTCGGTTTATACTGGACAGGGCAGACTGGGAACTCTTCTCTTCCTCAGCAGAGCTCACAAAGGAAATGGTAGAAGATGTGCATATCGATGACGCTGTTCAAGCTGTTACTAATACTATTATTCAGGCAGCTATGCTTTCGATTCCTAGAACATCAGGAAAAACTACTAAAATATTCGAAACCATGGTGGAATCGCGACTGTCATGAAGCACTGAAAAAACAGAAAAAAGCATGGGGTATTTTTCGTAGATATCCTACTCTGCGAAACCTCATAGCCTTTAAAAGAGCCAAAGCAAATGCACGAAAAGTAAGAAGGCAGAGCCAGAGGGATTCCTGGATTTCATATGTGTCCTCAATAACATCCTCTACGCCTAGTAAGCGGGTTTGGGAAAGAGTTCGAAAAGCATGCGGAATGTATAAAGACCACTCACTTTCCTTTCTGGAAAAAGATGGCCGAGTGATTAGCTCCATAGAAGAAATTGCAAATACTATTGGTGAGACATTTGCTGCCGTTTCTTCCAGCCAGAAACTATTTCACCTGCATTTCTTTCTATCAAGCAACGCTCTGAAATAAATCCCATCGCATTCAACTCTTCCAAATCTGAGCCTTACAATAGAGACTTTACTATGGCTTGAATTAAAGAGAGCTTTGTTGCAGACACATAGGTCTTTCTCCGGGTCTTGATGGCGTGTATTATGAAATGCTAAAGCATCTGTCCTATAAGTCACTGAGTGCCCTTCTCACACTTTACAATAGAGTGTGGAAGGAGCGTACATTTCCCAGTGCATGGAGGAGAGCTATTGTCATTCCTATTGCGAAGCCAGGGAAAGACCCGAGGAATCCCTCGAACTATCGGCCAATTGCCCTTACCAGTTGTGTTTGCAAACTGTTTGAAAAGATGGTAAACAGCCGCCTAGTCTACTTCTTGGAAAAGAATAATATTATATCGCCTTATCAGAGTGGTTTTCGAAAGGGAAGAACAACTGTAGATAACATGCTCCTCTTAGAGACATCTATTCGAAAAGCATTTGTAAGAAGAAGCCACCTTGTCTCGATATTCTTCGACATTGAAAAAGCTTATGATAAGGCATGGAGATACGGTATACTCCGGGATCTTCACGAGAGTGGCTTGCGCGGCAACCTACCAATTTTCATTCAAAATTTCTTGAACACTAGAACTTTTCAAGTAAGAATTGGCTCTGTTTTTTCGGATGTTTTTGAACAGGAAGAGGGTGTGCCTCAAGGCTGTGTGCTCAGTGTAACCCTGTTTAGTTTAAAAATAAATTCTGTACTAAAAGAACTTCCTCCCACCATCTTGGGATCTCTATATGTTGATGATCTGCAGATTAGCTGTCGAGGAG